AATGGGAAGCTGTAACTCCATGCACAGGGTTGGTTTGCTGAAGATTTTGTTTCCATTTTATTTGGCTGGTCCTTGTTCTCCACTTTGTTCAATGCAAATGCATAAGAGAGGTGCAACCCTTTTCTGGCCTTGTTATAGGCCCCGATTCCGCAAAGCATTTATGAACATATTTAACGTTAAGTATGTTCTTAAGTCCCATTGAAATTAGTGACTTTCCATTGACTTCAATGGGATATAAGCATGTGTTTAAATGCTTTGCTGAGTAGGGATGGGACTATGCAGATATTTAAAACTGAGCTTTGCCTTAAATCCTGTGCTGAATCAGGGTCTTAATTAGCAGCCCTGAAGAATTATAGACGAGTCAGCCTAACTTTGATATCCAGAAAGATACTGGAACAAATTGTTACACAATCCACTTGTGAGCTCCTAGGAGATAAAGTGATAAGTAATAGCCAGCATGGATTTGTCAAGCATAAATCATGCCAAACCAGTCTATTTCCCTTCTTTGCCAGGATAACCAAACTAGTGAATAATGGGGAAGATGTAATATATCTTGATTTTTGTATGACTTTGAATGGTCCCCCATAACATTCTCATAAGCAAATTAGGAGCGTATTTTCTAGATCATAAGTTTTTAAACTGGAGGGCACAACAAGGTTATCAGGGGAGTGCAAGATGGGATGGAGGAGCTGCAGCTGGCTGGGTGCCCAGGCCATGGCAGGGCAGCAATAGGGAGAATGCGTAGGGAGTCCTCAGCGGTATGGGGGGTCCCTGCCCAGCCCAGCCCTGCCCAGCCCAGCCCCAGTAGCAGCCTGCTGCTTTCCCTCCGACCTCTGTGTGTGCTGTCCCACCCTGCTGCCTGCTGGGGCCTGGACACCAGGCTGCCTGCAGCCCCCCATATTTTAAACTCTCCAGAGCTCGTGGGAGCGAGAAGCTCTGGGTAGTCGGGAGGGAAGGTGAAGAGCCCTGCTCCGCACTGTGCTGCACTTCCATGGGATTCACGTAGGATTGAGCCAGCCTGGTCCTGACACTACCCCAGATGTGAGCAGCCCACTTTCTCCATGAGCCACTTTCTGCCCCACACAGGCGACAGTTGGCAATGGGGGGCGGTAATGCAGGGCAGGGAATAGGACTGTTATGTGGCTCCAACGGAGAAGGGGGGAGTGCAGCAAAAAAAGTTTGGGAACCTCTAGTCTAGGTGAAATTACTGAAAGGTGGGTGCACAACTTTTGAAAAACTGTCCTCAAAGAGTAGTTATCAACAATTCATTGACAAAGTGAAAGGATGTCCTGGGGCATGTGGGGTCCTGCAGGATCTGTCCTGCTTCCAGTACTGTTCAATATGATCATTAACAACTTGGATAATGGAACGGAGAGTATGCTTACAAAATCTGTTGGCTGACACCAAGCTAGGAGAAGTTGCAAGCAAATTAGAGGAGGACATTAGAATTCAAAATGATCTTGACAAATTGGAGAATTGGTCTGAAGCTAACAAGATGAAATTCAGTAAAGACAAGTACAAAGTACTTCATATTAGGAAGGAAACATTAAATGCAAAATTTCAGAATGGGAACTAACTTGCTAGACAGTAGTATTGCAGAAAAGGATCTGGGGATTATAGTGGATCACAAATTGAATATGAGACAACAATGTGATGTTGTTGCAAAAAAGGCAAATGCCATTCTGGGATGTATTAACAGGAATGTTGTATGTAAGCCATGGGAGGTAATTATCCTGATCTATTCAGCCCTGGTGAAGCCTCAGCTGCTGGTGTCCAGTTCTGGGTGCCACACTTTAACAAAGATGTGAACAAATTGGAAAGAGTCTAGCACAACAAAAATGAGAAACGGTAGTAAACCTGATATATGAGGAAAGGTTGAAAAAAAATGGACATGTTTAGTTTGGGGAAGAGAAGACTGATGGGATACCTAATAAATCTTCATATAGGTATACAGGTTGTTATAAAGAGAATGGTGATCAATTGTTCTCCATGTATGAGGGAAGGACAAGAAGAAACTGGCTTAGTTTGCACCACGAAGATTTAGGTTAGCTACTGGGGGAAAAATTCTTACTATAAGGATAGTTGAGCAGTGGAACTGGTTACCTAGGGAGGTCATGGAATCCCAGTCATTGGAGGTTTTCAAGAACAGGTTAGACAAACACTTGTCATGGATGAACTAGGTATACTTGGCCCTGCCTCAACATAGAGGGATGGCGTGGATGACCTCTTGAGGTCCCTTCTAGCCCTACATTTCTATGATTCTGCATTAGCTGATATCTTGTCATTTGCACCTGGACTAAACCAAATCAGAATGGTAGTGTCACCCCCTTTGCACAATTCTGAATGACTACTCAAGGTGCAAGGCACGAGAGAGTCCAATCCTGAGTCCCTTCTGGAAGATGGTCTGTCTGGAAGAGTCATCTTTTTTGTCTCTAGCCCTCAGACATAACTGTTCACTTAGTAATATAAGAATGTTACTAGCCCTGCCTAAAGGAGATAAGCGTGACTCAAATCCACCCTGGCCTGTGTGGTAATTTTCACCATGTTACAAGTGTCTCTGTCATAGGGTGGCTGGCCTCTGGGAATGAAGCTGGTCCAGACCCTCGTGCCAGAACAGGTGCTCCCAGTTTGGCCAAATAAGAGAGGAGGGCAGCTTCTGAGGCTATAAAGGACCAAGGAGAATCTGAGAGAGAGAGGGAAGGAGACTTTGTGTGTCTGGGACCTGGGGAGACAGGGCTGCCTGGGAGTAGTAGCTTGGCGGGAGATGAGAGCTGCTAGAGCCAGAAGGTGGTTCCTGGGGGAAGGCTGAAGGCAAGAAGAGCGGCAAGAGGGGTTTGCTGGCTGATCTCCCCAAACCAGAGGGGCTTCAGACAGCTGAAGGCAAGAGGAGCAGAAGAGGGAAGTGCCTGCTGGCTCTAAGCCAGAGAACCAAAGCCGAGGGCCAGAGAGGGCTGAAGTTGAGAACCAGTGGAGAAGCTTACCCACTGATGTCTCCACATCAGACAGCTGGACCCAGGGGGTTAGTGAGAGGACAAGGGGGAGTAAAGGATGCTCCCTGGTGAGGATGGTCTTCCCAGCTGGGAAGAGCAGGGTTGCATGCCAGCTGAAAGGGCTGGAGTGGCTGTCCCAGGACAGAAAAGGACCAATAAGGATCCTGGATGTGGTGGAAGACACCAGAATATGGTATGGAAGGAGTCTCAACAGAGAGACTGGGGAGGGTAGGTGGGTCACTCTCGGTAGAGCAGGGTTTTAAGGACTACATGGATTGGGGGTGAAATGTAGTATGTTTGGGACTTTTTGTTGGGGATTAATTGATCAATATTTTTGACATAAATGAACCCTCAGGAGGGTATTATTGGGCCTGGCATAGAGTCCTTGGGTTACATGAGAGGGGAAACTGAGGCAGACATCTCGGTTGTGTCATGGTCGGTTGCAGAGATTACTCCAGTTGGAGCTGCCCTTTGACAATCCGGAGTGAAGGTGATACAATGCTGACTTCATTTCTCCTGCTTCTCTAGTTTCTGTTCCCCTTGGCAGCCAATTCTTTATCCCAGCAGAAAGATAGGTCATGCAAGTAACAGAATCAAGAAGGGGCAGTAGTTAACAGCATGCAGCTTTTCAGTTCTAGGTCACACGTTCAAATCTAGTCTTGATCAGTAGTGCTCAGAAGTTGTTGCAGTTCGATGGCTGTTGAGTGGCCTACAGAAAATCAGTTGGTGGTGTCAGTCCAGTTTCTGGTGGACAAAGGTCCACATCATCAGTCTCACTAATTACGCCAATTAATGGCAATCTCAGCAGAGTGGCCAGTGAACCAACTTCTGTATCACTACAGCCCATGTCGGAGCATCTTTTGCATTCCCATTCTCAGAGTACTATCATGCAAGACTACATCTTCCTCTACAATGGCTCCTGCCACACCTGGAGCACTGATCTTAGTCTTTTTGGGTCAGTAAATCAATTTTTTTGCTCACCTCTCCCCGACAGATAAACAGTTCCTGTCACACTCACTATGCCCAGGGCCAGCTGAGGAACTGATTATTTGAAATATACCTCAAATGTAAATATTGTGTGTGCCGGGGATCTCCAGGTACCTCCTGCTGAAGAAGTCCAGCTCTGGTACTTGTTCCTGTCAATCCTGGGGACTGTCTTTGGTTTCAGAGGGAATAGGACCAGGAACTTAATTTAAAAATAAAAAGCTGAAATTCCCCTTTACATTTTGGTTTCCCCCTACTCAGGGAACTAGGGACCACAGGTTTTTGCAAGGCCACCTGGGGCAACCAGAAACTTACAGTTTGCAATCCTGTAGAAGTCAGACACTGTTTGCCTAAAACGCTCCAGTCGGCAGGTCCTGATCCTGCTGGGAAAGGGTTAAGTGGATTTTAGAGACTCATACTGGTTACTTCCCCTGTATAGAAGGAAGGTGGGAGTGACTCTTTGGGGAGAGAAGACATGGGCTGGGGGCTGAGCAGTCCCGAAGGAGGAACTCCAGGAGCAGCCAAGCCTATGAAGGAGATGTGAGCTGAATTTATTGTCTTATTGTTGATTGCTTGGTTAGTGAAGCCAAATCCCAGGAAGGGGATAAGTTTGTGGACTGCAGATTGGGAAAGCAGCCTGTCTGCATCATTATACTCCCATCAGATGAAAACAACTGTCATAACCGAGCTGAGCTGAACTCAAACCAGTGACCTAAAGGTGAAAGATTTCACATCCCATTGCCAATTCCCTGAGTCATCCACTTACCTTCCCTCTGCATTCATTTTGTGTTGATCCGCCTTCAGCTGGTGGTGATGCTGTGATGGGTGGTTACATGACATCACACAGGATCATCATCTCATGACACATCCAGGTGTTACAAGGCCATGTAGAAATGACTTTGTTCCTGAGATTACATTCAAGGGGATCTAATATTCAGCATAAGATAATCAAAGACCAAAAGTAGCTAAAACAATAGGAACAGCTCCTGCCAGATATTCCTCACCTAATAGGCAATAAAAGACACATTCAGTTTATACTGCAAGTTTATTACAGTAATACAGTCAGATTAAATAATCTTCGTAGTTGATATAATTATATCAGAGAGAATATAAATATTTTAGTTTCAATACAGGCAATCATTTCATCTTTCCGTGCAGAGAGTAATATACAAACAATCATATGGAATAAAATTAAACAAAAGAGAGAAACCTAAATTACAAAGTGTGGCTTTAATCTATAAGAAAGTTGTTTCATATGATGAACATTCATTTGTATTTAAGCTTGGCTGGATTCAGTTCAATCAGTAAACATCAGCATTTGTCAGTTTCACACTGAACCCAAAAAGGGACAGAGGAAAACAAATGGCCATCAATGCTAATGAACATTTAGAGACATTAAAAATATTTTTTAGACAAAAACATAAGAAGTCCTCGGGGGACCTGGCCCTTTGCTGTTAGTGGCTGTACAACGGTATCTAGAAGCAGGAGTTCTCAGGCCACTGAATTTCTCTGGCAGCACAGAAACAGGAGCCTGCTTGTTCGGCTACATAGCAATAGAAATAAAAGCTGGGGATGTCTGTTTAAAAGATTTTATTTCGGTAAAAAATCGATTCAAAAATAGATGGTGATGCAATAACAAATCCATTGCTGCCCAATTACACCTGTCACTGTGCTCTAACCCAGGGGTAGGCAAACTATGGCCCGGGGACCAATCTGGCCCTTCAGACACTTTAATTCGGCCCTCGAGCTCCCGCTGCGGAGCGGGGTCCAGGGCTTGCCTTGCTCCATGTGTGCCATGGCTCTGCACAGCTCTGAACAGCGGCATGTTCCCCCTTCGGCACCTACACAAAGTGCGGCCAATGGGAGCTGCAGGAGCGGCACCTGTGGATGGGGCAGCGTGCAGAGCCGCCTGGCCACGCTCCATGTAGGTGCTGGAGGGGGGACATGCCGCTGCTTCCGGGAGCTGCTTGAGGTAAGAACCCCCTGGAACCTGCACCCCTGACCCCCTCCAGCGCCCCAACCCCCAGCTCTGATCCCCCTCCTGCCCGCCAAACACCTTGGTCCCAGCCTGGAGCACCTTCCTGCACCTCCAACCCCTCATGCCCAGCCCCAGCCGGGAGCCCACACCCCCAGCTGGAGCCCCCGCATCCCACACCCCAACTCCTGCCCCAGCTGGGAGCCCCCTCCTGCACCCTGAACTCCTCATTTTTGGTCCCACTCCAGAACCTGCACCCCCAGCTGGAGCCCTCACCCGCTCCTGCACCCCAACCTCCAATTTCATGAGCATTCATGGCCTGCCATACAATTTCCATAGCCAGATGTGGCCCTTGGGCTAAAAAGTTTGTCCACCCCTGCTGTAACCCATTGCCACTTGGTATTCAGAGACAGAGCTCCCTCTTCAAGAGCACAGGCCACTTTAGCTGATGAAGAAACTTCCTTAGCTGCAAGCAGTAACTTAGCAGGGCTTACGAGACACTGTTTTCTTGATTTAAATAATTTATAGGCTTTCTTAAGGTATCGATCTCTGTAGGATCCAACTATCTCACAAACACTGATGAATTTATCCCAGAAACTCCTCTGTCAAGAGCAGCTCAGGCCATGAAAGGGCAGTGATCTATATACACACACACAAACACAAGCTAGGCCTTTCCAACTATATTCATAGAAACTGAAATAAATTAAAAATCCTGTTGAGCCTACTGATAATCCAGAGCGTGGTACAAATTTCTCCCCCCTCCCCCTCCTCTTCTCTGTCTCTTTTATTCTTTTGCCAAAGTTTAAAAATAAAGACCTTAAACTACACTCATTCAATGCATTTTTAATGCCAAATGAAAACTTTGCTACATGGCACCAAGTGCCCTTTTTGTTGTTGTTTGTTAAAAAAAAAAAAAATATGATCACTAATGTACTTGTCATGCAAGTGCAGGGATTTTTTCCTCTGGAAAGCTTCAAGGCTACGGGCTGATGGGTTGGAGGGATTGTTTAACAGATCTAGAATTTAGTTTTGCTCGTGAGCAGGCTTAAGGAGAACAATGAATAGGGAACCTGATTTTCTGTCCTATGTCAATGAAAATTGTGATGAAGTTGAGGTAGATTTGGCTGTGTAAGGTGTAATATCCTACAGAGAACGAAGACACACAGGAGATCAAACAGATAGATCAATGCAAAGGATAGGCGAACGAGCAGGGGGAAAAAATCCCCGCCCTTCCATCAAAAAGAAATCCCATCCAGGATTGTTCCCTTGTCATGTCCTGCCTAGTTAGCAACACTACAAGCTTCTCCCCTTGGCCCGTCAGTGTCCATTAACCCTGGCCCAAAGAAACCCCCTCTAGAGGTCAAATGGTGAATCAGGCTCCAGGGCCCACCCAGTTCTTGATCACTCTGCTAAGACTACCAACAAAGGGGCAAATTGGAGGCAACGGTAATGATTTCTTTGATGTGGATAGCTGCCCATCAAGAACTGGGCTGAGAACACCAAACTCATTGCACACAGGGCAATGAACACACATCAGATGGTAGCGACTTTCAACCAGTACTGACCTAGGCTGCTGTAACACCATAGTATGAGCTACAGGAGAATTCCTTTCTCTGCTGAAAGGAGGCGTCTTCTCCTTGCTGCAGGCCACACACAAGCATCACAATGCCCTTGAACCTCCTGCCCCGGCCAGTTTGGCGAACTGAAGATATCTGCATAGACTGGAGCAGTGGGGAACCTAAGCTCTGACCCTGCAGTGTGTGAAATTGATGCCTGTTCACAGGGCCTGTGCACCATTTAAAGCTCACATGTGCCCAAAGCATTTGTTCTAGCCCTCTGCCAAGGGGTAACTTTCCCTCTGTGTTACTAGAAAATATCATATTGCGCACACCATCAATCCCTACAATCTGTGTTTTGTGTAGAAACAACCCACCCACCCACACCAGCTGGAGTGGATTTTCTGAAACTCTGTTCTGCACGGAAGGTCTATCGCTATCAGAGAGCATGAACATACCTAATGAATTCCCTTCCACTGTTCTTAATATGGAATTTCTGCTACTGGAGCTTAATTAGCATCTTAATAATATTCCCACCCTCCGCCTCTCCCCCACTGACATCCAAATTAGCTGCTGCAGCTCCAGCGTGGATGAGCAGGATGGATCTGGCTCCCACTGACTCCAGAGGCAGCAGGACACAGCCGGCTCTTAACAGCTGTGCTATTGTTCTGTCAGTTCAGCAGCCTTGGAGGTGGAACATCAGTTTTGTCTCCTCCCCTCCCTCCCTGTGACACTGGGGGCTGATGACGCCTTAAGGCTGGAGGTGCCTGCACACTCTCCATGGACTGGCAGGATTGGCAGGGCAAGTGCTTATTATGCTAATCTGCCTTCAGCTTGGCTCCCGCTTCATGGGAAAAATACCCCGGAGCTGTGACAGCCTTCAACTCTGCCAGCATGTGCTGCAGGGGCAGTGTCTCTGCAAAAATAAAAAAGGGGGGTTGAGGTTTACACTGAATTCCACTCCCACCAGTCACCCTGCCCAGCAAGGAATACATCCAAAAGGAACTGTTTGTCCTTGGAGATGCCATTGAGGCACAATGTAACAGGAGGAGAGATGCAGGGAAATAGATTAACCCTTTCACTGCTGGTCTGCCATTGAAAATGCTGTGCTGGCATTTTCTCCGCATACCAGTGACGATAAAGGGGTGTTAAGCTGCACGTATCACACTCAGCAGCGCAGAAGGTGCCATGCGCTGGAAATGGTACATTCAGTAGCAGAACCTGAGCATTCTATCCGGATGTGCCTGATACATACAACAGGGACACTCCATGTGAACATATCCTGTACAGTCAGCAGCCCATCAGGGGCACCTCACCTGGGCGTAGCCAGTACGTTCAGTATCAGGCTGCCCAGATACCCAGAGCAATATAGCAGTGGTGCCCTCAGGACATTCACTGCCAGTGTCAATGGGGCTGCATCCATTGACGCCAACAGAGAACATGGCTCAGCATTTTACTGTCTGAGATGTAGGTCATCTATAAACGTAACAAGTGGTCTATTCAGTGTGCTAGGTGGCACAACACTCTGTTGCACACCATTTCTTGTTCACAACCTCATGAATCATGAGGTAATGTGTAATCATGCCCTTTGCTTACCACTGCATATATTTTAAAGAGCTCAACCATGCACTCTCTATCACACCCTACAAATATGTGGGAATGTGTTCCTTTTGCGGGCTGGGGACTCGAGCAAAGGGTTAAATTGAAAATGAGACCACTTTGACTAAAATAACGTTATTGTATAGCTAATTAAGGACTATGCTGCGAAGGGCGTCGGAGTGGCCTGCTGCTAGGCCATGATTTCACTAGTCTGCTTTGATTGTGGCTAGGGGTGTGGGGAGTAGCATTCCACACCGACAGCAAGATACTGACTGATTAATAAGGGGAGTCCCGTCTGTGCTTTTGGGAATTCAAGGCAGCCGACATCAGCTTCCGGGCCCAATCCTGTGAACACCACCTGTCTTCAACTCCCATGGCACGACTGGGCCCTATATCTGCGGCTTGGAGGATGAATGACCTAATCTGCCACGCTGGTGATTTATAGCAGCAAAATACCACCTCCCATCTTCAAGTAATTAGCAAATGCAGGTGGCTTTATATAAATCTCCAAATCAAGGCACAGCTGTAACTCTCTTGGGGACACCATCACTCCTGAAAACAAAAGTCCTGGGGAACTAATGTCACGCATTAAAGATGGACTTCCACTCACTGGTATTGCCAAGATTTGCATTTTTTCACTGAACAGCATGAAAGACGGATCCCGCCCCACTGCACAATTCTATAGAAGCTTCAGCACGGGGATAGCCTTTAACCCTCTCACTCCCAAATAAAAAAAAGGCTGCCTTCTCATCAGTATGCTGCCTGTCTTTATCCTCTGAGCAAGAACACAGACTCCCTGACTCTAATCGAGGAAATGCAATAGTATTCTGCAGCACTGACTCAACACCACTGCAGTAAGAGTATTGTGAGCCACAGGATTCCTGATCTTCACTGGAGCAGAAAGGAAACCTGACATCTCAACCCCGTTGGTGGTTTTTACAGGGCTGGTTGAGTACAGTTCCATCGTTTGCAAATCACAATGGACAGGCCATTCTTTTTCACTGGCAGAATTTACACAGGATACTGTTAATATGTTGGGAATTCAGATACACTGATTTCAGCTGGCCGTTAAAAAAACTGCTTCAATTAAACTTAACCCTTCACATGCACCACAACAAAAAAAGAAGAATTTTGCTTTCAAAAGTGCTGTGCCTGCAATCGATTAGAAAAACACTGAAAATCTTCTCATAAAATATTGGATTTTCAAATGGGGCCTATGGGAGGTAGGTACCAAAATCTCATTGAAATTCTAGGGGAGGTAGGTGCCTAACTCCCTTAGGAGCCTTTGAAAATCCATTCCCCTCCACCCCCCGCACACAAAAAAATATAGTCAAGGAAAAACATTTACCACATTTTTTGTCTGTAGTTTTTTGCCATAGGAAGGTAGGGGCTTTAGTGCCTGAGGTATAGGTAGTTCCTGGATGCTTTTAGGAAAGTGTGAAGGTGGGAGAGACTGGAGAATAGTTTGCATAGCTTGCAGGTATAAAGAACCAGGTGTGTTCCCCACCAGGCTGTTGAATTTGTCTTCCCCGAGCAAAGCTGTCCAGTGGTCTGGATGATCCTGCAGAACTTTCCGCATCTTAAACTGTGGGTTAGGCATGAAGAGCAAGAGGTAGTCGAGGCAGAGCTTTTTTGATGCCACGTTGACTTTGGAGTCCCACATCTGCTCCAGGATGACATCCAACGGGGTGAGCCCCTTGCTGTCCTCGATCCTGGGAGAAGCCCCATTTCCTAGGAGGATGAGGACGGTCTCTGACCTCAGCAGTTCGCAGGCAAGGTGCAGCGGGGTCTTGCCATCTTCCAGATGAAAGCAGCCAGTCCTGTTGATGTAGGAATTTAGGCTGGGTAGCTTGTGTGCAATCTTGATGATCAGCGCCAAAATGTCCCTCCTGTCGTATGTGACTGCCATGGCCAAATGAGGGGCAGAGGACGGGCAATAGCAGAAATGCTCTCCAGGCACCTTGAGAGCGTCCTCTGGAAAATGAGACAGCAGATACTGGGCATAAGGCAGGTGATTATGCACCACTGCATAGAGAAGGGCTTCCGAAGGTGAATATGTTCTCAGGCTTGCATTTTCCTCCCAGTAAAAATATTCCATAGTTCTCATATCTTCCAGCATCCACACCGGTTTGTGGTCTCTCACAGCCTGGTAGAACATATAGGATAAGAACTTACAATGCCTGCTCTGCTCATCCTGCAGGCTGGCCTGGTTACTGGCCATGTCTCAGCAAATAAACAAGACCTGCACACAAGCTCGCTCCAGAATGTAAGATTCACTCACTTTGAATGCAGATCCCGATGCTGCTGCAACCTTCAGCCTGTCATTGCAGCCCAGACTGCACTAGCTGGAATGCCTCGGCTTGAACATCTCCACCCATTCATTGTTTTTTCCCCTCATTGCAGTGGTTTTGTTTAGGTAAGCACAATCCCACAGGCTCAGTTAACCCATGCCATGCAATAGATGGTTAGTCAGTGCACTCTGCTCCGTGCACAGCACAGGTTAGAACGCTGTCAGACTAGCAGTGATTTTTATAGATGCAGAGCTACATAGGAGAGACTAAAATTAGCTTTAGAGGTGAGGCAATTTTCTGTCTGTGTTTGATGCCTACCCAGATCAGCTGATATAGTGCAGTAAGCACAATATGCATTTATTCATTTGTCTTTGTCCCTCGTACTTCTACAATTCCTTATATAATAAATGTATATTGATACTATATAATCAATATTGAGTACCATATATAATTTCCATATACTGATTGCTAGCTATATGGTTATAAAGTGACTTCTATTTACTAAATACTGTTATGGGTGACGCATTAGGGGACACTGATAATGGTTTGTCTATTAGAGGTCATCAATCCTTGAGGGGGCCATTTAGGGATCTGGGGCAAAAATTGGGGATTGGTCCTGCTTTGAGCAGGGGGTTGGACTAGATGATCTCCTGAGGTCCCTTCCAACCCTGATATTCTATGATTCTATGATTCTATGATGCATAAGCCCATAGGCTGAAACTCTACATAGAATGAGTTGAAGACACCATGCAGTAACCCCATCCAGAGTCATGAAGGATATTGGATAGTTAAAGCACTTCCCTTTGTCCGGCAGTTAAATCTCTGAGGTTCCTTTGTGTTGCAAAGCAGATGCATGAAGAAAGGATTAATGTCCAAGCCACCTTTCTGTCTAGACCAGCTAATCTGAGGGGGATCCTTGCACTTGGGGTTTCCCAGATGTCCATGCAGGGGAGTTTGGGGCTGTGTGAGACTTGGGTGAGGTCCTGGGAAGAGACAGAGGCCCAAGGCAGATGCTTCTGGGACAAGACAGAGGTGCCTGACCGGAGGTTTCTGCAAGAGGGTGTGACCTGTGTGCTGTTTGTTACCACCTGTGTTCAAGGAAACAGGATTTGCATGCATTGGAAATAAACAAATTATACTGAGAAAATACCTGACTCTGCTTCATTGATTTCTGCTTTAAACAGGACCTGACCTGCAAGGTCCTGAATTCTGTTATAACTTGGCAAAGGGGCAACAATCTACACTGTGTCCATATTGGGAGACTCAACACACAACGTTCAGATCTGGATTTTGAATAGCCCAAAGTTGCAAGGTGTTCAGGTCCAGGGGTTTGGATCATCATAGGATAAAATTAGGTCCATTTGCAAAGTTTGGGTCTGGATCTGGGTACAGACTGCAACCTCCCAGCCCACAAAATTCAGGGACATTTAGATCCTGGGGTTTGGTTCAAGCCCATCTCCTGTACCGTGTATACATTTAATGTTTTGGGTCAGGTTTACACATTTTGAGTGAGCAATTGCATGCCCAGTTTGTGTTCACAATTAATGTGACTGTGCATGCAAATACAGCTAATTAGATATTTGCATGCGCCATTATCCAGTTTGTATGTGTAACCCACACACCTTCTAGGTGTGGTGTTCTGTCCCATTTAGTGGCACCGAGACCACTTAGAGAGAGAGAGAAAATGAGTCTGCTCTACACCCGTAGCTAACAACGAGTTGGCTTTTAGCTCATGCGGTAGAGGCTCATGCACTAAGCTCCAGAGGTTCCCAGTTCAATCCTGCCCGCCGACATCCAGGGTCTGTCGGCGTTACAAGTGGGGGCTCATCTGGGATTTCAACTGGGAAGACTCTGAAGCTCGGGACACACTTCCTCAGCTAGGGGAAGTATGTCACCCACACACCTTCTGGGTGTGGGGTTCTGTCCCATTTAGTGGCACCGAGACCACTTAGAAAGAGAGAGAAAATGAGTCTGCTCTACAGCCTTAGCTCACAGCCAGTTGGCTTTTAGCTTATGTGGTAGAGGCTCATGCTTTAAGCTCCAGAGACCCCAGGTTCAATCCTGCCCGCTGATGACCAGGGTCTGTTGGTATGGTATGTTGGACGTAGGTGCATGATGGAGCAAACATATAGCAATCCTGCCCGCTGATGACCAGGGTCTGTTGGTATGGTATGTTGGACGTAGGTGCATGATGGAGCAAACATATTTTGTGTGTCCAGTTGTTTACCCAAACAGTCTGAAAAATCAGGCCATTAGCATACAAGCCCCGTGTAACAAACTGGTCTGGTTAAAAGTTAAAGTGTTAATACATTACATGTTTATAGCATCTTTCATTCAACGATCTCAAAAGACTTTGCAATCATTAATTCATTATGTCTACAACACCTCAGTGAGATAGGTAAGTATTGCCAGCCGCATTTTATAGAGGAGGAAACAGAGGTATGTGCACAAATGTTTTATGACTTGCTCAGGTTTACACAGTAAGCCAGTGGCAGAACTGGGAGTAAAGCCATGAACTCCTGAGTCTTTTCTCCATGCTCTGACCACTGGACAACCCTCCCTCTCTGAAACTCAGGCAGAAGTCTGGAGCTAAAGACAAAGTACAATGTTTGTAGTCTCTTCTATTATGTGGGTTATTATAGGGTGTTCAAATGTGTTCACCGGGTGAAAAACATCTAAACAAAAACTATTCTGCAAATAGTATTGTTCCTTCCCATATAAAATACCAGGAGAAGGAATAATTAGTCTCTGAACTCTGTGGCTTATGAATAGACACTGTTGTGCCATCAGGGTGAGGGAAGAGATGCCCAGGGGACATAGGCAGGCCTGGGAAGGAACACTGGGGAGAAATGGGGCCAATTCTGTAGCAGAGAGATTATATATTGGGCCCACCTCCGCGCTTCCTTAAGCTGCTCATCTATTTTCCCCGCCATCCTGCTGTCTGCTATAGGCAAGCTCTCTGCATGTTGCATGCTCCTATCTCATCCAATAGTCTATGCGAGCTAGAGCTGGGTGGACTGTTTGATAATGCATCTGTTTTGAGGTTGCAAAATAAAAAATGTTTGCAAAACAGAAGTAAATCTCTAAAACAAAAACATGCACTACTTGGGCTACTATCCATGAGTGCAAACCAAACCAACCACAAGATTCAAGGGAGGTGGCGGGGATGAAGTAGAGTTGTTTTTTGCCTTTTGAGCTGGGATTGGTTGATCAAGCAAGACGTGTCACATGGTGTTGTTTCTGGTTTCCTGATTGGCTGAGCTGTATTCCACAGGGTTAGCAGAAGGCCAGGCCATTCTGACTCAATTTCACAGAGGGCGCAGCAGCAGAAAGGAGTTTTATGCACCTCTGTATGTCGAAGGGGACAGGGGAAGATTTTTTATCCTCACCTCCTAAAGACCAGCTAAGATTTCAGTTAGAACATGGCAGCCACCCTTGAGAACTCCAGATAGGAGAATGGTCTTCCAATTAAAGCTGATAGTCATCGAGATATGTGGATACTGTAGTGTACAGGAATTGGCAGAATCCTTTAAATTGTCTTGTCTGTTTTAGAAACCAGCCAGAGCTGCAGCATGTGTCCATACCCAGGCCTGGCATGTTGTATATAATTAGTATACATGGTTGTACAGACCCCACCATGCCATTGTGGTTTCTTTGTGCTATTATTGTTGGGTAAAGGCCAAAAGATACAGCAGGTGAAGATTCCTTAATCCAGGAATGCAGTGGTACAGAGAGTGGCAGAAGAGGCCAAGTGAAACGGAAAGAGTAACTGCAGGCCATAAGCACTGGGACCATAAGTAACCTACTCACTTGGCCAGGAGCGTTGCTCACGTGTATATTGATTCACAGGGTCAACGGGAATAAATTGCTTCCTGCCATTATGGTGTTTCTGTCTGGTTGTGTTTTTGTTTAGTCTGTTCGGCTGAGACAGTTTCATGATGCAGACATGCCAACTCTCAGGAAATAATCGTGAGAGCCGTGATTTCTAAGTAAAAATTAAGCCTGACTCATGATCTCACAATAGAACTGTCAACAGTCAGGAATCTTCAGCCACGAAAAGGAACTTATGTAGGTAGCTAGTTCTTGTGTGCCTATGTATAGTTACCAAACACGGTTATGCAGAACCCAGCTGCGCCTCTGTGGTTTTTTTATAGTATTGTTATTGTGTAAAGAGCAAAAGGTAAAACAACTGGGGATGAAGAGGCAGCCACTAGGACTGTGTGTCAACTGCTTTTTTAAATGAAGCCGTATCTACGGAGGGGCTTAGGTCGATCTAACTACATTGCACACGCACAATTTTTTTCACAGTGTGAGTGATGTAGCTAGGTCAATCTAATCTTTACGTGTAGACCTGGCCTAAGGCTCAATTGAGCCTAAATCGTGCACTAGAAGCTGCATCAATGGAAACAGCTACTAACAATGTCAGGGAGCTGCAACAGCATTGTGCAATCTGTGCAACACACAAACTGTGCTCTGTGGGTCACACAGAAAGCACTACCAGGAGACTACTCAAGGACTTTCATTGTGGGAAACAGTCTCATAATACAGATGGTTGGTTCAAGAACAAGTCCTTTATGAACTTCCAGATATTGGGACACATATGGAAAATGTGCACATCAGTGAAAAAAACACAACCACCACCTTGTAAGGATCAAAGCAGAGGACTGTATAATCATCAGCTTGCAGATGACAACATCGAGTCCACTGAGAATGTTGTAGCATCTCTACAGCTGTTCAGTTTCGACAAACAATGCTATTTGGATTTCTTCACAAGTGGAAGGAATGAGCTTGAAATAGGGTCTGCTGTTTCTGTAATTTCATAGCAGGATTATCAGACACTGTGTAAAAAGGTGAAGTTACAGAAAACCTCTGTCTTGGAAAAAACATATACAGTACAGGGAAATTCTTGCTATCTTGGTTGTTATTACAGGAACTGGCCAGCATACTAAATCTCTGTGTTGTGTCCCGCATTATTTGGCAGAGAATGGCTGAGAAATTCAGCTGGCAAAGCATAAAATGGCTGCAAGTTTAAAAAAATAATATATATGATCCCTGGCCCAATACAAAAAACAGCTGAACTGAACAAAGTTTCCTGAGTCCTAGTCAAGTGCTCTATCCACTAGACTGTCTTTCTGGCCTTAGGACTAATCAATATAAAATGCAGGACAGATCCCTATGCTTGCGCTGGAAGTAAAAAAAGACTGCCGGACCATTCCTGTCCTTTCTTGACCTGTGTATATGAGGTGCTGGAACAATGTTTAA